ACCCAGCTAGTGGCCCCAACACCCCATCCATCCACACACAAAAACTTCACTCCTGAGCCATCTGGGAGTATTGCTTAGAGCCCAGGTTCTGCTCTCACTCAGGCTGGTAATCCACCCACTTTGCAGTGAGGATGCAGGCTAAACCATTCAAGTGCTGATAGTCCACCCACAATTTCCCTGTGTGCCCAGAAGGAGAGACAGGTTCTCCCACAATTCACTGGGAAACAATCCTGGAGCAGCTTAGCATATTGCAGCACAGTCAGCCACGGAATAAGTTCCCAGAGGCTCTAGCGACACACATGGATGTCTGCACCGTCAGTGACGACACAGTAACACGGGTATGGCTGCTCACACCGGCCTAGGCTGACCTGTATGCTCATACCTGTATGCTCATACCCGGATGTCATCACCCAGGCTAACTCTGCCATGAAGACACACACCCTCAAGGTGCGTGCACGTGGAAATCCAGTAATACGCAGTTACACAACCTACACACACACGAACGGACGAGGGTGTACACATGGGTGGTGCCGGTGTGCACAGTCAGAGACCACCTCTGACACTTTGGTCCTAAAAATGAAAAAGGTTCAATTGCACAGTAAAACGTATTCTGCCCTAACACCTCTCTGAGGTGAGAGAAGCGTTTTTTTCCAGTCAGTTAAAAATGATGAGCCAGATGCTTCTCCACGGCCTTGCACCTTGTGCAGTCATTCTCATCAGTGCAAAGTGAGTAAAAAACATCATCAAATCAGAACGCTAGTGTTTTCCTACTCACTTTGCACAGGTGCAAATACACTTACAAGGTATAAGACAGTGAAGAATCAGGCGCCTTGCTTTGTGGCACACACATTTAGTTACTTATGTTACTACTAAACCTTATATGGTTAAAAGTGAAAGAGTTTTTTAAATTGCGATTTGTTTGTTATTTATGCTGTTTTATTACTTTTTTTCTTATCTTTCAGATTAGAAAAATAAAATCAGTGAAGACAGTTTCACTCTCGGGTTCTTAATGCTGCAATGTTGATAAGCCAACCAGGGCAAGGAAATGTTTATGTGGAATTTCAAACTAAAGAAGCATTTCTATTCATCTTTGGTTTTATTAAACCTTTTACAATTTATATTTGGGGCTACATGTAAGTTGACAATGTCCTTTTAAACCTGGTTTATACAAAGCTATTTATGTTACACTGATTTTTATTTTTCAAAAGAGCACTTTCAATTCTTAAAGTCATGGTCAAAACTTCTCTCTCATATTCCGTTAAAAAAGTGACATTGAAAAACATCTTTTTAAAGCAGAAGCAGGAACCCTGAACCATGGCTCAAATCCTGGCTTATGTGACAAGAGAACACAACTTTAGCGTTCCCATCTTAAGCACATCACAAAAAACTCAACTCAATGTATCTACATCAGAAAACCTTCATACAATTTGGTATGAGACCGGCAATCTCTGTTCAGGAAAGACCTAGGAATGATAGAGCAGAGGTATGGAGTTGTGTGGAGAAGACTGCAAAGCACTTCCCTGTGTGATGCCAGTCTACACTGTTAGTTCTTCATTTTCATGTACATTAAATTTACTCCCACACTTAAATACAAAACAAGCAATTAAAAAATTAAATGCGATTTCTAATTATTATCCAATTATACCTAGTTCAAATCCATCTTCATTTTTCTGGTACTCTTAGCTCAGTAAAAATCACCACCACCTTCTGTTAGTCCTCCCACCACTACAGGCCTTCACATGTAAAAAGAAAAAGCAGAACCAGCCAGTAGAAGAAACACCAACTCTGCACTCTCAAATGGCCAGCAGGGGGCATTAATAACTTCCCCATACAGACAAATCACATCATTCTCCTTTAACTAAAAATGATATTTTATATATATATATATATATATCCTGTCTATAAACAAGCTGCAAATGAGTGTTCAGCATACGTTAGAAACACACCACATTTAAAACCAGCTGATTACATCTTACATAAAAGGGATACCATGTTAAGCAATGTATACCCATAGTTAATGAAACTTCAGAAAGTACAGTAAATGGATTGCTACAAGTGGGACAGTTGCTACAGAGTCAACTAGATGTCACAATATGACTAATAGATATCACATGAATTGAACAGTGGAAAAGATTAAAAGGAAATCTAATTGTTAAAATGTCCAGTATTTCAAACAAAATTCTCTTAACACAACTGTTTAAAAGGAAACAGAGTAATTTGCCTACCTGAAAGGAGGCAATGCATGCTCTGAACAAACAAACACTAACTCTCCCTATGTTTTTTAGTTTGGGCCAAAATTAATCAAAGTCAGGGTTAAAAAAAAAGCTATTTTAAATACCTTTTTACTCATCTTGAGGTCTTTATTCATGCAAAATGATTATTAAAGTCAGTGTGAGTTTTACCTAATAAGAACAGTAAACACTAAAGGCTTGATCCTACAAAGTCTTAAACGAGTTACTTTACTACTGTATTTGCTGCAGTAAATGGTATTATTTATGTGAGTAAAGTTGCCTGTGTTTGTAGAATTACACCTTAAGTAAGGACTTCAGAATTTGATCTTGTGTGTGTTAAATCAAAGGTGCCCAATATTTTGTCCATATGAGGGACACAAAAAGAACATGTCATAAGCCACCTATTTTGCATTTAGTGGAGCAGACTGCAGCCATCCTCCTCCTTGGTAAAATACTAGAGTAGGAGAGGGCTATGGTCTCAGCATACCATCTTTGTTCCATCTTTGACCTGTGCAACTTGCCCTGTAGCTACTGACCACACTACAGAACTCCACGGGTCACATTCCATCAGTTGCAACTCTGGGCATCCCTGTTAAATCAAATGTCAAGGATAACCAGCCAGTGACCATCTAGACAACCTTTACATTATTTACTCTGATACAAATTGGGCTTGATTTTGATCTCACTCTGGAGTAAATCAGGAGTAAGCGCTGAAGACAGTGGAGTTACACCAATGTAAAACTGATGTGACTGAAAAAATAAACCCACTGTATTTTAACAACAAAAACATACTTGGTCTAAGGTCCATTAAGACGACCTTAAGCATTCTGTGTACAAAGAAAGCAGTATTATGCCGATGGCTAACAATCAATTGTACTGGACATAACAAGGTTATCTTTATGCAAAATGTTTACTTAATATTTATGACATTGTTTTTAATGCAATCTCAGGAAATATCAGCTGCTAGAATATTCAAGGTGACTTAGCAATACATTATGGGTAATACAATGTGGGCATTCAGAAGACACTTAAATTTGATTAATATGCTATAAAGCATTTCTTCCTCTAGCTATTAGTTACGAGCCTTTTCTGTGTAATAATTTCTGTAAACAAAAACAATTTTACAAAACCTGAGCTAATTCTGGACAAATGAAGAGCTCTTGGAAATGTTAACGCCTTGACAAAAAGATTTGTTCCACCTGATCTCTAAGTCAACATCTGCTATCAAGAAAATTTTCTGAAACTGAAGGGTGAAAATATGTTAGGGTGCTTTATATGGCAATTTAATTCTCAAAAAGAATAATCCTCCAGAGATGTAGTGGTTACAACCTGCCCCTCCATTCTAGATGATTAGTGTAGACCATAAGAGGCGTGTCTTTACATGCAACTACATGCTTAGACTACTTCCCTTTAAAAGAACAATACCCCATCCTGCAGTCACAATAAAATGTAAATTTATGTACTGCACACTTCACTATGACATACTGTATACATGAAAAAGTTATTCCACTACAGAGACTTTCTGATCAGCTTTTCATCAACAAAATACTAGAGTAACTCAGTTTTCTGGCTTAAATAAAAGCAAAAAATGTACTTTCAGTTTCTGAATCTAATTCCCCAGCTGTATTTGCCATATTATTTAAAAGAACAGCCTATTTTCTTTCTGCAACCTTTATATTTTTGTTACCATTAGTAGGATAGCCAATCCTAAGTACTTAAAAATCATGAGTCAGAGCCATGAGACAGGCTTAAAAACCATGAGACTCAAATAAATAAGAACATTTGGGTTCTTTTTATATGCAGTCTGATTGACCCCTAAAGGCTCAACACATTTTCAAGCTCTTCTCCACAAACTTACAAACATACAAGATACAGACACATGAGGTACGGGGGGGGGGGGACGGACGGGGACGGGGGGGGGGGGACGGAGAAAAGAAAAAAAAGCTGAGATTGTCCTGTAATCACATCACTGCAGAACCTGGGGATATAAGCAAATCACCGAGGATCACAAGACTTGCAATAAAATCATGAGAGCTGACAACACTGCTTAAATCAGAGTAAAAGAAAGACTTAGGTATGTCACCAGTGGCTGGTTATCCATGGTTTTAAGCAGGGCCAACCCTAGACCAAATGCACCCCAGGCAAGGAGTGTCTTCGGCATGCCGCCGCTCCACCTTCCCCCCACCCCTCCATTTGTTAAACTTTTGAATATCTTACACCCTGAGCCTAGCATCCCTCAAGCCCTGCACTCCAGGCAGTCGCCTGCCCCTAAATCCGCCCCTGGCTTTAACAGAAAATCCGCATGCCAAAAAAGGCTTTCTACACAGGAGGAAATCAGGAAGTTGAAAAAGGCAAAGAGTCTGCAAGCAACACAACCCACAACAACAAAACAAAAATTGACAATAATAGGCAAGAGGATGGATTTCTATTATTTTATGCATGGCAGTTTATGACAAAGCTCAAAGGATGAAAACTTTTTATACATCTCATAATCTTTTAGTAACCAAACACATTTTGACCTAAGGTGAGCATAAGAACCGCTGATCTTCAACGCAGCATCCTACAAGACAGAGATTTGAGACACAGGTAATATGATTTGCTGACTTGGGTAATACCATAATCGTTATTTATTTATAAAGCACTCCCATTCCTGGTCATGTTGAGGTAGAATAATTTTGTGTCAAATGAATTATAAAAACATTTTAAGGTGTCCAGGTTTGCCAAAAGCGTGTATACTCATGAGAGAAATAAAAAGCATTAAATCCTCACCTTGTTTATGGTGAAGATAAAAATTATGGTCGTCACTGTTCTATGGGGGTGAAGAAGAAATTCACAGCTTAAACTGCTTCCTCATCTGGCTTCGCCTGCAATGTGACTGTTCATCCAGAAGCAGAGGAGATGAAAACCAAAATGAAAAAAACAATATCAGTTAAAAACCAACCAACTTAGCAGTGGCCATACAAGTGCCAAAATATTCCTGTGAAGATTGTGAGTGGTTCTATCCAAAGCAGAATCATTCATAATACTGAGGGTCAATAACATCAAAAGATTACAGAGTTGTGTCTGAGTCTGAGCTACAGAAGGATGGCAATTCACTTCCAACAAGTGACAACTAGAGTGAAAACTAGGGCTCAGAACAAGCCTGTACTCAAAAAGCACATTGGTAAGCGTACTGTTTACATCTTACACTAGCTTCAGCCTATCGGGGACATTTATGATCTTTACTGTCTCAGTAGTACAACCTCATGAAACAAAAAATATCTACATTTCATGAATGTCCAAAAAGACAAGTCATTCATGCACAATGTAGCTGAAATTACTACAGATGTGCACTCACATGTGTGCCCGTTCTTGTGTGTGTTTGTACGTGGGCGCCCTTGGCCACTCTTCCTCCCAGCAACCATGACATAGATGTGCACTGTCTCCTGTAGGCTGGGGCTAAGGAGTCAGTTCCTCAGCACCATACACATGTGGCAGAAAGCACAGCCCATTTACACTGTCTGTATGTGCTTTCCAAAATGTGATATTGGTGAGTTTAGAAAACATAAGTGAGTTGTGGTGACAGTCTTCACTGGCAGCAGAACACAATTTCTTTGAGAGGCATTATCCAAAAAGCAAACCATATTAAGGGGATCTTGATAAAAAAAAGTGTTAGATTTTGTGGCATTTCCCCAGTTCTATCGTCTTAATCCTGGCATGCTGGAATTAATGCATTTTACTGCAAATTCCCAGATAATATAAACAGAAAGTATACTATGACAGCAATATTTTTCTAATTCTATATTTTTAATCATTAAAAATTACAGGGAGCCAGCATCACAATTCTGCTGACATCACATATCAAACAAAATATGTTTTGCTTTTTCACTTGGAACCTCACCAAAAAGTTTTTGTCACTCTTTAGCAGGACTACTATTCCTCGATCGTGAGGCAGTTTTGTGTTTGAGTTTGTAAGCATGCTTATGGCCCCTGTTCATCCAAGGATTTATGCACAAGTTTAACTTTATGCCAGTACTTAAATCCATCCTTATTCAGCAAAGCACTTGCAGGATTTAAGCATGTGCTAAAGTGTTTTTCTGGATTGGGTCCAATAAATACATTCATGCACATAGCTATTCATAGTTAGTAGACTACAAACTAACGCACAATATAGTTGTAGGAGAAAATATAGTAAAGTAATAGCTGAATAACAAATACACTAAGCTCAAGAAGAAACCAGAGTTACTTGTCCAGTTTCTGTAACTTCCAAATACACCTTTGTCTACAGAGTTGTTAAAATTAAAAAAATATATATACTTATTTTGTATATCAGCTAAATCAAAATCTTATCACCTTAAACTTTTTTCCCCCCACATTTTTTAAAATGTGGGACTTTTGAATATATGTTACGTGCCAGAGCCCAAAAACATTTTGTGTGTTTGTTCTCCCTGTCCAAAGATAAATATACTAATTTGTCTCACTCAAAGTTCTGCATAAGGTAAAATTAAATGACCCAGTCAATATTTTCAGATCTAAAAGCTTAGTGTATTAAATTTCTTAGCAAAATTCACTGGCATAGAGCACACCATTTCTTCGGTCTGACATACTTACCTGTATCGAGCCTGCTGTACTTCTGTTTGTTATGGTTATTACATTTTGATTTGCTAAAGTAGACCTAGTTATAGCAGTCTCAGCAGAGGACTCCAGCTAAAACTGTTCTGTGAACTGATTAAGTTGCATGAACTGTACCTGAACGATGTTCCACAACAGTTAATCACTCAAAAACCTGTATGATCAGCTAACAGCCTCATAGTGGGCTGTCTCGTATTCTAAACTACGGTTGAAACCAGGGTACACTTCAGACCACATATGCAATTTTTATATACATTTTTGAAACCAAAATACACCTTGTTACTGCACTCCCCTCCTATTTGTAGACCACAGCAAAAGCATTATACTATATGAATGGCAATACAAAAAAGAGTGGGTTACTACTGCGCCCTTTGAAGTTAATAAGGGTTTTGCCATTGAATTTCAGTGGGAGGAGGATCAGGTCCTGAGTTTTGATTCTCTAGATATATTATTAATATAAACTATTTTCATATTTCAAGTAATTAGCTGCTTTTCAATTGACTGCATTTAACAGTCTATTTTACAAAAATATTAAGATGATACAAAGCTACGGATACATTACAAAAAGATTTTTTTTCCCTTGGAGGCAAAGGAAATTCAGGCCTGTTTTTAAAGATCCTTTAAAATCAGACCATTTTTGTCAAGCTTTTTTATAATGAAATCTTAAGGGAAATTTGTTTTTCACAAGTTCATATAACACATTTTAAAAAATATTTACTCTGCAGTGCTGTGAACCACATTACAAGCAATTTGCATAAGAAGCATGATGCAGTACAAGGGATCGTACAAACAGCAGGAGTTTGTGTGGTTATTTGACTTTCTCCAGTCCCATTTTCCTAATCCCCTCCATACCTAGGCCAAGAAAGAAAGGACGAAAGAAAGAAAAGCCCAAATCAGCCAGTGCACTAAAGAGTTGCACTGAGAGTGAGAAACTCTTCATGAACTTCCCCATGAGAAGAAATTCCTCTGCTTGGCAGACGGACAGAAACCTGCAGGATCAGTTACACTGCGGCTGGGTTTGTGAGCTGGCAGGCAGTGCAAGATTTGACCCACAGACAGGCATTACTCCTCTTGTTACCTTCTCCAGTCTCGTACTTCAACACGAGAGCTATTCAAATGCCTGTTTTATTATTATATTTTTTGGACACTATTAGGCTCTAATAGTTAAGGGCCTGATCCTGAGAGGTGTGGAGTCCTGAACCATTGGGAATTGTGGGTACGCGTCACTGCTCAGATCAAGCCATTAAAGCCACAGGTCTAAATTCACCATTGGTGTAACTGGGAGAAACGTGAATGGAGATGTTAGCTACTTATGCAAGCGGCAAATTCAGCTCCTCCAGCAGAGTTCTGAAGTCCTTACTCAGACAAAACTCCCATTCCACTCAATAGCAGTTTTGCCTAAGAAAGGTGTAATAAAGACTTCATGGTTACACACTACAGGACAGATTCTGAGCTCCATTACTCTGAATGTGGCCCACTGGAATCATTCAAGATTTACACCAGTACAACAGAGAGCCACATTTGGCCCATTAAAAAAAATATTATTTCTTAAAAGACTAATGTATAGTGTAGTATTCAAACACTGACATTAAAGACAAAAATATTCCTCAGTTAAATGTATTTTTAAATTGCAGTAAACAACATGAAGCTCTTTATATTCTTCAAGTGCACTTTTTACATTGGAGAAAAATGCATTATAAACATTGACGCAAAAGGCCTTCAACTGTATGCTATGATGAAAAAATATCTTTTAAGGTAGTATAAAAACAAATGTGAAACAGCTTACTATTATCAGAAACAAACTATCCAGTATTGAGTCTGTCACAGATAAAATAGCCTTGGGTTTTTAGTTGGTTTTATTACAGTTTGTATACACCCTAAGTTTTTGCAAGGTGAAAATGCAAATTCATTTACCAAATAAAACACATCCAAGGCCCTGAGCCTACTAAGAATTATGAACATGCTTAACTTAATACACTATCAGTTAAGTAATAATGATAATGTGAATTATCAATTACTTAAATTATACTAGTCAGAGCACATAAAGTTAAGCAACGTGCATAGATTATGGCAGGTTTGGGGCCTACAATATTAACCCTTTTAATCGTGACATTTTCACAACTTCATACATATGATTTCAGCCGTCAAATGGTTAAACACCCAACAAATCAAAAGCAACAGATTGCAGAAGCAGCTTTCAGATACGCTTGGGAAAGACACTTAAAAATTAACAAAACATTTGTTGATTCATTAACAATAAACACACGTGGAACTGGTAGAATGATTTCATTAGCTAACTAAATATATTTTCATACTCTGCATACATGTAAAATCTGACAATCCAGTGCTGTAATAGCCCAGAAGTATCTTTCATAAAAGTTCAGTGGTTAGGAAATGTCATAATATGCTTAAATATTCTTCAAGAAGACACAGAAGTGAGTTGTACAATCTGTCCAACATAAATATTGTACATACGCCACTTGAGGTAGCCCAGTCACAAGACAAACACACCTGAATGGACGATGAATACTGTCTGTTACCATGGCAGCCTGATCTAATTACATGACTGATCTGGGCTAGAGTAAGTGCACTGAAAACCTATAGCACTGACATGTATCTACATGATGAGAGAGAGACAGGCAGAGTTGAAGAGAACCTATGAACCTTTGCCTTCCATAAACGATGATGAGATTAAAGCCATCCATTTAAAAGAATTGCTGCCTGAAAAATATTGGGCCATTTTCATGAACAAATTGGAGGGCAATACAATAAAATCATAACTATTAAAAGATACCTTGCAGCATCTCAAAAATAACTACAGTGTGATTTTTTTTCTGTCACTCTCAATTACAATCTCTCCCTCATTCATAACCCTTGCTCCACAGAGCTATAAAACTGAACTGTCTTCACCACCCAAACAAGCAGAGCTATATTAACATGAAATCTGAATTTTCCCTTAACTGAAGGTTACATCAGAAGCTAAAATGAAAAGACCTTGACTTCCCTAACATGTCAGCAAAGTAACTGGCTATGCCTGAACACATCTGACATGTAACTAACCAATACAGCATAACATATATAACAATGATCATTAAATATTAAGTATAACCTGCATTATGAAAGATGTATTTCTTTATCATATGAAACATAAAATGTTTCAAAAACTAAGGTCATCCACCTTAACAATTCCTTATTTGTGCATAAAGAATATTTATAAGGAACAACAATTTACATCATTATGTTTACTTCTTGGACATAATAAGGAATGCTTACAATTTTTGCTAATTGTATCCGGAGTCTAGGATCACAGGGGAGAGATGCAGTTTGGAGTCCCTATTGCACAGCATACCGTAAACAAAATAAAAATAGCCTGTCGTTCTTCTTATCCACATAGTACATTATATAACCAGCTTCGGACTTGTTTTCTTTCTATTATTACTCTTCAGTAATTTCCCCCATCTTCAATGGCATGGAAACAGTTCCCAATCCTGTCTTTTTATTATTATCATCATCATCACTACCGAAGCAATCAACGTTTTCTAACAAATTTTAGGTTAATCTCTAATAGTCTTAAGAAATTATTATATTCATTTATTTAGTACATACAAACCAATCAAGGGTTACTTTCCTAAGGTGTTTTATTTAAAAACCAACCCAAACAAGGGGAGGTCAGAGTCAAAAGAGCAATGCATACCTGCAACATAAATTAAAGAGAATGCAGCAGCCATAGACACAATCAGAAATGGAAAGAGCAAAATATTGCTATATCCAAGGATAATCACATCAATTCTTTAGCACCCGAGGCTGCCGCTAATCCCCCCTGGAGAAGCTAAATGGTCTCTTTGCTTTTAGCCAGCCCCAGATCTCTCACCCTGGCAGGGACTGGAGAAGAGTGAAAGCAAGAGAGGCTCTGCAGACAGTGTGAAGGAGGAAAACGGGACACCCGGGCCTCCCCTGACCCGGGCACTAGCCCTCCTCGCTCACTGCTGGAGGTGCCAGCTGGTGTCTCCAGCCAGCCTGGGCCGTGAGTGCAGCGTAGTGGGTCCGCGGCTGAGCGCATTCCCCGTCCCAGCGCCGCCTCTTCCCCCTCCCTCCTCGCTTCATTCACCCCTCCGGCAGCCACCCGGACCCAGCCCGTACTACACAGCCCAGCACGGGCTGGCGCGGCCGGCGGCAAAGCCTCCCCCGCCGCAGCCCGCCCAAACCCGGGCGTCGTGCAAAACTCCGGCCGCTCTCACTTGCCTCCGCGCCAGCTAATGCACCAGGGGCAGCCACAGCCGGAGCCCAGCGGCGGCGGCAGCAGAGCGAGCGTGAAAACGCCACCCCTCCCCAGCGCACACACACACACACACACACGCGCACACGCACGCGCGCTCTCGCCTCCCGGGGGGGGGGACACTGAAAGCAACCCAGACACAGGGGCTACGGCTGTTTCCTTGCCTGTCCCCCCTCCTTTCCCCTGCCTCCTTCTCCTCCACCCCGGAAGACATTTCTTGCATGCACAGAGTGCAACGAATTCCAGCCACCCCCAATGTCCCTCCACCTCCCCCCAGGATCGCAAAGCCATTTTCTGGCCTCCAGCCTTCCCAGGGCTGGGGTGGGCTGGGCTGCAGGAAGGCTGAAGCCCCCGGGGGCGGGCTCGTCCAGTCCTCTCCCCCCCCTTGTGTTTCTCCAGCTGGAAGCGCTGGAGGTTTTCAATCGAAAGGAGGAAAGAAGCCGGGGAAGCAAAAAGCAGAGAAGGAATAAAAGAGCCACTTACTGCCAAGTGTCAAGGGAGGTGGGGGCAGAGAGAGAGACTCACACACACTGTCTTGCTAGCTGATCACAGGGCTTGGGGGCGGGGGGGGGGTTATGTTGGTTGCCTTTTTTCCCTCTCTCTCTCTCTCTCTCTCTCTCTCTCTCCTTCCCCCTGCAGTGACACAGGTCCTGGATGTCTCCACCACTGTAGTAGAAATGATGTCTGCGGTACAGAGCTCCCGCTCCTCTCTCTCCAGTATGTAAATGTGTAATAGAAGCCAAATATGGAGCAGTTGGCTGCCTCTGCAACAGCTCAAGGATCCTACTTCATGCAAAAGGGACGGGGGAAGGGAGGAGAAGAGGAGGAGGAGGCACGGCAGCACTTTGGCAGGCGGCCAAGAGAGCCACACAGATTATTGCATACGCACCACAGAGCCGGGCCAAGCCAGTTTTAACCCTTTACACGGCTTCTTCCCAGTTACGGGGAGAAAAAAAAAAGGGGGGGGTGAATTGTGGTGGGGTTTATTGGTGTTTCCCCCCACACACTTCAAAAGGCAATGTTTGCCCTCAACAGCACAATTAAAATAATACTGATCAGCTGCTGTGCTTCTGGAGAGCTCAAAGCGTTCTGCAAACAGTAATGAAAGTGACCAAGAGATTCACTTGTTTAATAGAAGAGAGCCGGCTGGGGATGCCTGCTGTCCTTTGGAAATGGCAGAGTGCTAATTTAAGGGACTCATGACGATCAGCCACTCAGTCTTTCACCATGAGGCCTTGGGGGGGAGGGGTCTTTTCCTAATTAGTATAATTCTTCCAGGGACAAATCCTCAACTCCTATTGGAGTCACTTGGCAAAAGGTACCTACCATCTAAATCAAGTCCCAAATGTCCTTTACTCAGATCCCTTCTTAAACAGCAAGAAGGCAGATAGATCTGGACCTTGTATAACCAGATATCTTTGGATGCTGACCATCTTTCCTGACTCCCTATTACACACTGTGCCAATTACACTTACTCTGAGGCTGAACCTCTCCCAACTATTCCCCCAAGTAGAGCAACATACCTCTCCATGATGGTCCAGTCTCCACTTGTTGTCTTGTCCTTGACTGCTAGGCTGGATTCCTAGAGGAAAACACAAGAGAAAGAAACTTCAGTTAACAAAAAAGGAACAGAACATCAAAATTAAAACTAAAAATGCGATTGAAGAAATGAGTAAAATCAAGTTCCATACCTCCTGAGCACCAGGGCCTGGGGGGGCGGGGTGTGTGCTCATTGTAATATTCACTAAGACCACTGGCAAGGCAGTGGGGTCCTAAAGGAGCTACTGACTCTCTGCTTGGGCATCAGCACACATGAAGGCATAGTGTGAGAGCCCCTCTCTTAGCTGACACACTGGGGATTGAACCAAAGGCATGAGCAGATACAGCTTGAGATAAAGCTCTGTAGCTGGGGGTATAGAAAACAGAGGCCTCTCTAGGTACAGGCAAGTTAGGCACCTGCCTAGGGTGGCAGATTTGACCCGGTCGCCTGCCGTCATGATGGAGGGGTGACTGGGCCTAGCCTGAGTGGTGCTGTGACCCTATGCGCCAGGTTGCAATGCCACTTGCTCAGATTTGGCCCAGCTGCTCCTCCATCATGATGGAGGGGCAGCTGGGCCAAATTTGAGTGATGTGGAAGGTGGCACGCTGACTTGCTTAGGGTGGTAGACTGCCTTAAACAGCCTTGGATAACATCTCTGGATCAGCCTTGATTCACCTCCGGATCAGCACAGAGGGAGACTAGTTACACACTTACCAGTGGGTTTCAATACCAGGGTTACAACATGCACAAGGCAGCGTCTGATGCAGAACAAAACCATTCAAAGTGGGCAATGGGGCAAACCCAAAAGGTGAACAGGTGCAAATATCTCCTGTATATTATTAACATTATGCACATGCTCTAGGGAGCTGTGCTGGGCATTGTGGGATAGGTGCAATAATCCACAGGGCATGCAATGCTTGTACGGCAGGCACCATGTGAACCCAGAGCACTGCTTGCATCCAAAATAGGATGCCTAGGGTTGACACTCTGCAGCGCTGCAACCTGCACCCATTCCCTGAAACCGGAACAAGCTACAATATGGCAGTTTTCTAGTTTTCCATGTGTTGGTGAAGTGTTTCTATAACCTTAGGGGCTACATGCAAAAAAAAAAATCACGATTAAACTGTCAGTTTCTGTGGATGGATCTGCAAGGTAATTCCTTATAAAAAGAAATATGTTGCATAATTATACTGTAATAGCTGAAAGGAATGTAGTAATAAAATTGTAAGAGGCAGTGCTATTGATCAATAGGCAATAGAATAGTGTATACTCTATATAGCATAGCTTTATAAGGCATAAAGATCCTTTATTATTACGACTAAAACTTTAGTTAAGGTTCCATCATATGTAACCTGATGACATTTTCTGTTTTATGAGTGCTTTGGGGAAAAGAAACAGCAACAGGCCAAGACATTTGGACAGACGCGCAACTTAGCACCTCAAAGTAGTGAATCTGCAACAGCAGCAGCCAAGCAGACATCAACATCATCCTCACCCCGCTAATGCAAGATTCATTGATTGAATCAAAGAGAGGGAGGGAAGGAGAGAGTGTGGATTACTGAAAATCAAGTGTAAGCTCTAGTCAGTTCTTAAAGTGGTATGAAAAAGTGGGGTGGGGGAGGTCTACTATAATCTTGGAGCAGCAGCTTTGGCAAGAACCATGCTTAAAATGCAGCTCCCAGTGACCTGGCTTGATTAAAACAATTTTTTTTTTTTTTGGCTGGGTATGCAACCCCTTGCAATCCCTCATCCCATACACTCACTTTAAGCACTGCCTCTAGTGACACTTCAACCCCTTCATCTGGGCACAGTTTTGAATATGCAGCATTCCCCCACTACCACCACCTTTTTTATTTCTCTAGTTCAGGATGTTACCTCAGTAGAAAGGAATCTCTCATTCTAATATGTTCACCTTGCCAACAGGTGTGGCACACGCAGAGAAACAGAAGCCACGTTCATGCTGAAGCAAGCTCAGGGCAACCTTCTCCTTTGCAGCAGATGAACACGAGAGCCCTGTATATACCTCTATTCTTTGGCTACAGATTTTGCTGCAGAAACTTTGCAGCAGAATTGTGCTCCAGAAACTAAGCTTTTAAATCTCTCTATATATTTCTAGCCCTCATGGATTGATGCATAAATTGATGCAGTGTTGTCTTCCTGAGTCTGCAGACAGCCTTAAAGCGGGCTTCGGGAGGTGCCACAAATCCAAACTGCCCGGTGGCAGAAATTCCAACAGCTCCTTACCTAGCTGCTGTTCCTCCACCATCTTCTGACAGATTCTCTGGGGCAGTTATAAACTGTCATCACAAAAACCTTTAGCATACCAAAACCAAAAAATAGGAAGACTGCTTAAAATAAACTGAATTTAATGTTAAAATAAATAAGCTACTGCAGTGATTGTATTATTAATTCTTATATTTAATGGATTACATGGCTACATTCAAAAAAGCTGCAGCAGAATTTGCAGCCTCCTCAGCAACCAGGAATTTTGCCACAGAGCACAGGTCCAAGTTGCCACGAAGTACAAGAACCCTTAATTAATGCAGAGGCGCTGTGAGGCACGGCCATAATGTGACCTTTTCCAAACAACTGGCACAAAAGGCCCGATTAAGCCTTCAGTCTTTATTCAGGCAAAATGCCCTATCGACTTCAGCTGGGAGTTTTGATAGAGTAAGAAGTGCAGAACTCAGCCTCAAGAGAGGCGGAGTAATTTGCTTCAGAAAATGAACATTAACAGCTCCAGGATGAAGACTGGGTGGACAACTTTGCTCCTCTGGCACAGTGGAACTTTCTATAGTTAGTGTAGGAAACAGAGCTTTGTCTGTGCAGTAGACAGAGCTTTCTCAGGTGCTGGTCAAAGACTGTGGAATGATCTCCCCCAGGAACTAAGGACCACCACAAGCCGCACCACCCTCCACTCTTAATGTAAGGCACACTTCCCTGAGTTTGCCTCTCACATAAACATAGCAGCAAGTGAGTGCATATATACATGTACGTATATTGTTTTTAAAGATTCCAAAACAAAAACACTCCGTTGCACACACTTCTGCTTCTGGGAAGAGGATGAGAGAAGAAACTTGTAACAGATGTAAGTCATATTGCTTAATGCACTACTGGAAGGTGCTCAGATACCAGGGGAATAAGCACCGTGTAAGAACCTACATAGTACAGAATAGGCTACATTTGAACAGACATCAGGTATTTTATTTACTGCTTAT